TGTCCAGGGAGGGGGGGGGGGTGTACCTCTGTGGGCGCCTCTTCCTGCTCCTGAGCCCCTGCCTCCTCTTCCCCTCCATCTGCTCCTGCTTTCGCTGCCTGTCATCTTCCGTCCTCGTCCACGTGCTGCCACTGCTCCTCCTCGTCGCCGAGTCCGCGGGCTCCGCGCCGTCTGCTCAGGCCGTCCGCGCGTCGGGAGTACGATTTTGTGGAAGGCGGTGTCGCGGTCCAGCGAGGCGCCGCCGCGAGTCTGGGCGGCTTCCGTCTTGGGCCCCGGGCGCGCCCCTCTGGGATCATCCCTGTCGCTGCGTGTGGGGGGGTCTTTTCCTGGCCTCGACGGGCTCCGCGCCGCTCCGTTCGGGTGGCCTCGGCAGTGGCCGCCCTTTCCTAGCTGCGCCACATCGTTCCAGGGCCGTGCCTGTTAATGAGGCTGGGGACTCGACCCCCAGTCCCATGAACCGCTCGGCACACTGGCTGGGTGTGGAACTCTCCCCGGGGAACTCCAGCACGTTCGGCTTGCCCTGGTCCACGTTCTGCCGCTCTCACGCCGAAGGTTGGCAAGACTCGTGGCCGGCCAGGGCCTGACGTGCAGGGGTGGTTGATGGGCGGCGGTTGGCCTCGATCCTGGACGCTGCTCGGGTGATGATCACTCTCATCGTAATCGTTTCTCAAGCATTCGCAGTGGGCGTCCGAACGGGAGACTCGAGCGAGCCGTCCTTGTGAGGGACTTCCTTAGATGTCTGACGAGCGGTGTCCGGGGAGGGGGGGGTGTACCTCTGTGGGCGCCTCTTCCTGCTCCTGAGCCCCTGCCTCCTCTTCCCCTCCATCTGCTCCTCCTGCTTTCGCTGCCTGTCATCTTCCGTCCTCGTCCACGTGCTGCCACTGCTCCTCCTCGTCGCCGAGTCCGCGGGCTCCGCGCCGTCTGCTCAGGCCGTCTGCGCGTCGGGAGTACGATTGTAGTGGCCTCCAGCCAGTGTCGCCGATCCGGGGTGCTACCGATTCTGTTTGCAACGGATGATTTTTTACCTAACAGCGAAGACTGATACGTTTCTAGTGGGCTCAAAAGAGAGCATCTTGACTCCCCAGGGGGGTCTGGGCGGATGCCGGGCAGAATCCAGGGACTCCCCGGGACTCCCCAGGGGGGTTTGGGCGGGTGCCGGGGAGGATCCGGGGACTCCCCAGAACACCATTCCCAGGCCACATTTTGAATGCCCGGAGCCAACTGTAGGCCACTTCGTGTTGTTCGTGTTCCCAGAACACCATTCCCAGGCCACATTTGGAATGCCCAGAGCCAACTCTAGGCCACTTCGTGTTCTTCGTCTTCCCAGAACACCATTCCCAGGCCACATTTTGAATGCCCGGAGCCAACTGTAGGCCACTTCGTGATCTTCGTGTTCCCAGAACACCATTCCTGTACCATATTTTGATTGCCCAGAGCCAACTGTAGGCCACTTCGTGATCTTCGTGTTCCCAGAACGCCAGTCCTCTGCCATATTTTGAATGCCCGAGCTGAGGCAGGCTGAGGCCGAGGCAGGCTGAGGCCGAGGCAGGCTGAGGCTGAGGCTGAGGCACGCCGAGGCAGGCTGAGGCAGGCTGAGGCTGAGGCAGGCTGAGGCTGAGGCTGACGCAGGCTGAGGCCGAGGCAGGCTGAGGCTGAGGCTGAGGCAGGCTGAGGCTGAGGCAGGCTGAGACTGAGGCTGAGGCAGGCTGAGGCTGAGGCTGAGGCTGATGCTGGCTGAGGCTGGCTGAGGCTGAGGCTGAGAGGCAGGCTGATGAGCTGAGGCAGGCTGAGGCTGAGGCTGAGGCTGATGCAGGCTGAGGCTGAGGCAGGCTGAGGCTGAGGCCGAGGCTGAAGGCAGACTGAGGCTGAGGCTGAAGCAGGCTGAGGCTGAGGCTGAGGCAGGCTGAGGCTGAGGCTGAGGCAGCTGATGCTGAGGCAGGCTGAGGCTGAGGCTGAGGCTGATGCAGGCTGAGGCTGAGGCAGGCTGAGGCTGAGGCCGAGGCTGAAGGCAGACTGAGGCTGAGGCTGAAGCAGGCTGCGGCTGAGGCTGAGGCAGGCTGAGGCTGAGGCAGGCTGAGGCTGAGGCCGAGGCTGAAGGCAGACTGAGGCTGAGGCTGAAGCAGGCTGAGGCTGAGGCTGAGGCAGGCTGAGGCTGAGGCTGAGGCAGGCTGAGGCTGAGGCAGGCTGAGGCTGAGGCTGAGGCTCATGCAGGCTGAGGCTGAGGCAGGAGGAGGCTGAGGCCGAGGCTGAAGGCAGACTGAGGCTGAGGCTGAAGCAGGCTGAGGCTGAGGCTGAGGCAGGCTGAGGCTGAGGCTTAGGCAAGCTGAGGCTGAGGCAGACTGAGGCTGAGGCAGGCTGAGGCTGAGGCTGAGGCTGAGGCCGAGGCAGGCTGAGGCTGAGGCAGGCTGAGGCTGAGGCAGGCCGAGGCAGGCTGAGGCTGAGGCTGAAACTGAGGCAGGCTGAAGCATCCGTAAGAGTCCATAGGAATCCTTAGGAATCCCTAGGAATCCTTAGGAATCCGTAGGCATCCTTAGGAATCCGTAGGCATAGTTAAGCATCCTCAGGAATCCTTAGGAATCCTTAGGATCCCCTAGGAATCCTTAGGAATCCTTAGGAATCCCTAGGAATCAGGATTCCTAAGGATTCCTAAGGTTTCCTACGGATTCCTATGGATTCCTAAGGATGCCTAAGGATGCCTTAGGAATCCCTCGGAATCCTTAGGATTCCATTTGATCCTAAGGCCGTTGCCACTCCGACTTTCATTGCGAATGCGACTGCGACTGCGAGAACAGCAGAATTCTACAACTGGATTCTCACCTGAATCTTAAGGGGAATGCTTCCAGATATGCTTATACACATCGCTGTTAAGTTGCTTTGCCGGGATACGTATATTTAAAAGTAGAGTACTCGCTCGAGACATCCTCATAAGATATAGATGAAGTCGCTTGGGTAACCTTCGGATATTCGAAAGTGACGATCTCGCGTGAACAGCCAAACTCATGGGATGTCCCCTCCCACCTTCTGGGCCTGAATGGCGTCAGCCATGGCGTCAGCCCCAGCCCCCGCCCCCCCCGACTCCCCCGTCCCGGGCGTGAATGGCGTCAGCCATGGCGTCGGCCTTCCCCCCCTCTCCTCTCCCGAGCCTGAATGGCGTCAGCCATGGCGTCAGCCCCCCCCCCCCCCGACACAGTGAAGCTTGAGCGAGCTCCCCCGTCCCTCCCCCCTCACTGGCCTGAATGGCGTCAGCCATGGCGTCAGCCATGGCGTCAGCCTCCCCCCCCCCTCTCCCCGACTCTTCCCTCGCGGGCCTGAATGGTGTCAGCCATGGCGTCACCTTCTCCCCTCCCCCCTCCCCCCTCCAGATCCCCCTCCCGGGCCTGAATGGCGTCAACCACGGCGTCAGCTCCCCCCCCTCCCCCCCCTCCCCCCGACTTCCTCCCTCCTCCCGGGCCTGAATGGCGTTAGCCATGGCGTTCCCCCCTTCCTTACATACCCCCGACTTCCTTCTCCCGGGCCTGAATGGCGTCAGCCATGGCGTTTCCGCCCCCCCCCCCCCCTCCTCTCCATGGCGTTCCCCCCCCCTCCCCCCCCTTCCTCCCGGCCTGAATGGCGCCAGCCCCCACCTCCCCCCTCCCTCCCTCCCTCCCGGGCCTGAATGGCGTTAGCCCCCCCCCTCCCCCCCGACAAAGCTCCCTCCCCCCCCAACCCTCCTCCCTCCCGGGTTTGAATGGCGTCAGCCCCCCCCCTCCTCCCTCCCCGGCCTGAATGGCGTCAGCCCCCCCCCCTCCCCCCGTCCTCCCCCCGGGCCTGAATGCGTCAGCTCTCCCCCCCCCCGCCTCCCTCCCCCTAATGCCAGCCCCCTCCCCCCCTCCTCCCTCCCGCCTGAACTGGCCTGGCCTGAATGGCGTCAGCCCCTCCCCCCCTCCTCCCTCCCGGGCCTGATGGCGTCAGCCCCCCCCCTCCTCCCTCCCGGGCCTGAATGGCGTCAGCCCCCCCCCCGCCCCCCGACAGAGCGAAGCTTGAGCGAGCTTGAGCGAGCTCAAGCCCACGCTGTCAGAAACTTACACGCCTGATCGGCGGATTTTGTGGAAGGCGGTGTCGCGGTCCAGCGAGGCGCCGCTGCGAGTCTGGGCGGCTTCCGTCTTGGGCCCCGGGCGCGCCCCTCCTGGCCTCGACGGGCTCCGCGCCGCTCCGTTCGGGTGGCCTCGGCAGTGGCCGCCCTTTCCTAGCTGCGCCACATCGTTCCAGGGCCGCGCCTGTTAATGAGGCTGGGGACGCAGCCCCCAGTCCCATGAACCGCTCGGCACACTGGCTGGGCGTGGAGCTGCCCTAGGGGACTCCAGCACGTTCGGCTTGCCCTGGTCCACGTTCTGCCCGCTCTCACGCCGAAGGCCGTCAAGACTCGTGGCCTGACAGGGCCTGGCGTGCAGGGTGGGTGATGGGCGGCGGTTGGTCTCGATCCCAGACGCTGCTCGGGTGATGATCACTCTCATCGTAACCGTTTCTCAAGCCTTCGCAGTGGGGGAGGTTCGAGCGAGCCGTCCTTGTGAGGGACTTCCAAGTGTCCAGGGGAAAGCCTACGTACATGGACTGGAGTTATGACCGATAAGCGGCCTGCTGCCGCTACTGCTCCTGCTTCCCCTCCTCCGTCTCCACCTGATCCACCTACTCCTTTGGCTTTCTACCCTTCCTGATCCTCAGCGCCTCGTCTTCGTCGACGTCGACCCCTCCCCTGCCGCCGCTGCTGTCGCTTCGTTGTTGCTGTTGCGGAATCGTCGAACCTCTCGCCGTCTGCGTCACCACCCCGCCATCGAGGTCAGAGTTTTTGAAAAACGGCGAGTGTTTCGAGCTCGCCGACGAAGACTCTGGCAGGAAGATCTGCGAAAGGAGTCGGGGGACGTTCGTCGAGCTGCCTCTGTCGGCTCCAACCACAGCGCGATGGCCCCCGCTCGCGGGGAAGGACGGGCCCCCTCCCCCTTCCCCCCTTGCTCGGCGCGCAGATGCGCCGCCACTGTCGGGCTGGTGTCGCAGCCGCGCTGACAGGCTGCGCTTTCAGGAGGGGCGCCTCGTTCGCCGCCGGGAGTCCGCCACGCTGCGTCGTGGATTACTTTAGGCAACACGGCCACGTCGTGACGCGGGGGCTGCTGCCAGAGGAGGAGTTCGGCACGGCGGCCCGCGAGATGTGGCAGCTGGTCCCCGGCGGTGACGGCGACGGGCCGCTCCGGCCGCCGCAGCGCCGAGGCCAGCCGGTCGGCGGCGCTTCCCGGCCTTTCACCAAGATAGCGAACCCGCACTCGAGGATACGGGCGGCGCTCCGGCTGGCGTTCAGTCCGGCCATGCTGGGCACCGCCGCGGCCTTGCTGGGGGCAGCCAGCGTGCGCCTGCACCAGGACTCGCTCTTCCTCAAGCGCCGGGGCGAGCCCGCCACCGCCTGGCACGCGGACCTCTGGACGGCCCCGCTGGCCACGGGCCGCTTCGTGACTGCATGGCTGCCGCTGCACCGAGTCGAGATCGACGGCGCTCCGCTCTTCTTCAAAGCGGGCTCCCACCTGAAGCCCCAGGTGTCGGCGGCGAGCCCAGGGGTGAGGCGAGAAGGGGAGGGCCTTCTCAGAGGGCTCGGGAGTCCCCTGGCCTTCGCGGAGTTTTCGAGGCCTTCCCCCAAGACACGGCAGACTTCTCGGAAGGCGCGAGGGCCCGCCCTCTGAGAGGGCCTTCTCGGTCTCACCTCCCCCCCTCGCTCGCCGCCGAAGGTGACCATCCAGTGCACTCCCGGCCCCGAGGCCGATGCGCTCCTGGAGCCTGGCGCCGTGGGGGCGCATCACGCACCGCTGCGGGAGGGGGACGTCACCTGGCACCACGGCTGGACGATCCACGGCTCGCCTCCGCTGAGCGGGGGTGCTCGTAGCCGCCTCGCGTATACGGCTGCCTACTACGCGGAGGAGGCTGGATTCGAGGCGTGGCTGGGGAAAAGTCATCGGTTGCTCTGATTGTACATCGAGGACGTCGGGGCTCAAGAGACCGGGGTCAATGCAAACAGAGGTCAGCTGGAGCGCGAGCGCCGGATCTTGTAGGATCCTGCAGAGCCAGGGTTGCATTGACCCAGGCTTCGGTGCAGGATCCTGCAGGATTCTCCAGGATCCTGCAGGATCCTGCAAGGCCTGACTGACCCGGGGTTGGATTGACCCGGGTCGGTAGATCCCTGAGTGCGAAAGCATTTGTTCCAGGGACAGGCAGAAGACAAGTTGCCAGAAGTGAACTTGTCCTCGTGGGGTTCGGCTGCAGTGGAAACGAGCTGTGGACCATTGCCAGCTAGTTGCGGGAGTTGCTGCTATCGAGGCATGTTGTCATTGGCCTGGGACTGAGCGTCGTTATGCGCCCTCTGCCAGGTGATGTGTGTGTGTGTGTGTGGATATGGGCAAAGGTTCGCATCATACGATGCGGTGCCTTCCGCCCCAAGAGCCCCCCACCAGGCCCCAAGAGGCACCCAACAGAGCCCAAGAGCCTCCAAGAGGCCCTCCAGAGGCCCCACGAGGCCCCACGAGGCCCCAAAGAGGCCCCAAAAGACGCCCCAAGAGCACCCCAAACCGCCCCCAACAGGCTTCAAAAACTGCCTTCAAGAGGTCCCCGGGAAGCCTCCCACGAATTCCAAACGAATGTTCAGGAGGCCTCTAACCCACAACCCAGGCACGGTGGCGGGATGTGGCCGACAACAAATCTTCAAATAGCTTCTGACCTTTACCGAAGCCCTAGGCGAGCCGCGTGTTCCGGAGACATCCCAAGAGGCCCCCAGAACCATGTCCGCGGCCACGCGTCTACACCCTGACCGATGTTCCCAGAAAGGGTTCCCCAAGATGCCCCAAGAGGCCCGGAAGAGGGCCCCAAAGGGGCGCCTAGAAACCTCAAGAGGCTTGAAAATTTGCTCCACCAAGAGGCGCCAAAGCGCGCGCCAAGAGACCCAGCCAGGTGTCCAAAAAGCCTCTGACCCACCATCTGGGCACGGTGGCAGTACGAGCCGAAGGCTCCTGAGGCTTCCAAGAGGCCCCCGCAACCCTCTCAGAGGTCACGCGCCTACCCCCTAAACGATGTTCCCACAGCGGTTTCCCGGGAAGGCGATTCCGAGCTGGAGGCCTCCCTGGAGACCCTTTTGAGCGCCACAGGAGCCTCACGTACACGTCCTACACGATATTCCCAGAGAGTCCCCCGAAAACATCGATTCGGACTCGGGCATCCTTGGGATGCGACACCAGACGTCGTACGATTCTGTCGCCGTCGACACTCCCAAGTCCCGCGTGCTCTGCCTGCTGCGATTCGCCGTCGCTGGTGTTTGGTGCCTTCGGGTCAGTAATTACCTGAGGAAGCGGGGGGTAAGAAATACAAGAGACGGAATAGCTGGGCCTTGCTAGAACCAAAGCGCGCGAAGCGCGCGTGTGGTTCTAGTGTGTGTGTGTGTATATATATTTATTGGGGGATGAGGCCCCCTGGCCGGGTCCAGGGACCACGGGGGGGCATGGTCGGGCAAGGCGTCCGGGAACGCTCTCAGATGGCCCAAGGCAGTCCCGAAACATGTTGAAGGGCCCCAAGAGGCCTCCAGGACGGTCCAATGGAGCCCAGAGTTACCGAAACATCGCCCCAAGACGTCCGAGATGGCCCCGAAAAAATCTAAGAACAATGGAGGACGCTTCAAAAGGCCTCCAACAGCCCTACCAAGATGTCCCCAAGATGGTAAAATCTTCAAATTCTCTTCCGGAAAACGTGCAAGACAGTTTTTTCTGCTCCAAAGCAGCCCAAGAAGCCCCGAAAACCGCTTTGACGCAGCCCATGAGGGCCCCAAGAGGCCCCAAGACAGCCCAAGAGGGCCCAAGAGACACCCAACATGGCCCAAGTGAGCCCCAAGACGACCCCAAGAGGGGCCCAATACATGGTACCTTGACAGAACGTCCGAGCGTTCGCCCCCAAGACGCCCTCGGGAGGCCCCAATAGGTTTCGAGAGGCTCCCAAGACGCACCCAGTGGTCGCCAAGAGACCGCAGGTGACCCTCTCCCCCCAGTGGCCCAAAGGCTCCCAATATTGGTCTTTGTGGTGGTGGTGGTGGCTGCAGTAACTGCGCCTGTAGTGCTGTTGGCGATGGTTCAGGTGGTAGGGATGGTGGCTGCGGCAGTGTTGAGGTGGTCATGGTGGTAGTGCTGGTAGCGGTAATGGCAGTGGTCGCGGTAGCTGTAATGGTAAAAGGCAGGGGGTCAGCCAATGGTGGTCGACGTGATTGTGGTAGATGCAGTTGTCGTGGTGCAGGCCGTCATTTGGATTACGCCGATGGCCGCGGCAATGGTCAGTGGCCAGCGCGTCGTCACAGCAGTCAAACCGGTGGTCGCCGTAACGATACTGGCGGTGGCGGCGGTAGTTGCCGTAGCCCAGCTGTGACTAGAACCGACGCGCGCGCGAAGCGCGCGTGTTTCTAGTTTGCATATTCCTATTCATATATTTTTACAGGGCTGGGGACCCCGGCGAATTTGGCCCACCCCGGGCCTTTCGGGCAATCCTCCAGACACCCCTGGAGAGCCCCACGAGAGCCCGAAGACGGCCCCAGAGGGCTCCAGGCGTTCCGGCGCGCTGCCGAAACGACCCCGGAGAGCCCCAAGACGGTCCACGACGACCCTGAAGAAGCCGTCATACCCCCAATGATCGCTCCAAAACGTCCCAAGAGGCCTCCAAGAGCACTCCCAAGAAGGCCCCAAGAGGCAACAATTGATTTTCAGTCGGTTTTTGGTGAATTTTGGGGTTCTCCTTTTTTCGGCTTCCCGACGCTCCAAGACGGCGGTCTTCTGGGGATCCGAAGCCGCCTGAGAGGCCCGAACATCGCCCCACAACCGTCCGAAAGGGCTTCAGGCAGTCCAAGAGAGCCCCAAGACGGCACAATAGGGTTCCAAGATGGCCTAAGAGAGCCCCGTGACGGCTCAAGATGGCCCCAAGGCCATCTCCGAAGCATTCCAAATCGTGACCCAGTCGTTCAGGGAGACCGCGGTTGGAGGCAGTGCGGCCCGAGGAAGCCCCCAGAGGCCCCCAGAAGACGCCCAGGAGGCCTCCAGAAGGCCTTAAGAAACTTTGGTGGAATTATTTGTGAGGCCCCCAGAGGCTCTCCAAGGAGGAGCCTGCGCAAAACGAGCTGAGGAGGATGGGGAGAAAACGCAGGGTATGGCGAACATGAGGAACAATACGTATGGAGGAAGGATAACGAGTAACACTATTACAACGGCGATGCCGGAAAAGGCAACAAGGAGTTACCGCTGAAATTTCGGCTTGACCGTTCTGCCATTCCGCCTGTATACCAAACTTCAAGGTCCAAGGTGCATGGCGCGAAGTGCCAATGCAGTCCTATATATGTATATGTGTACGTATATGCATATGCGTGTATATATGTATGTATGTATATATATATATGTGTATAAATATATTGTATATATATATATAGGTATATGCGTATATTTGCACATGTATATGTATATGTATGTGCATATGTATATGTATGTGTATGTGTATGTATGCATGTGTGTATATGTATGTATGTATGTATGTATGTATGTATGTATGTATGTATGTATGTATACATATAACGGCGCACCGGGTCCGGGGGCCCGGGGCCGGGACCTCGACCGCAAATGTGGGCCCCGGGGGGCCCGGAGGCTCGTCGGACCGCCGGACGCCGTCCAAGATCGTTCGCAGGCGGCTTCGGAACGCGCTCCGATGGCTCCAGATGCCTTCCAAGACGCCTGTCATGACACCAAGAAGGTCCCAGAAGCCTCCAAGACGCTCCGAGAGGCAGCCCAAGAGAGGCCCAAGAAGCAAAAATCGTGCCATTCCTATGGGAAAACGTATATTTTTCGCATGTTCGCATCTTGGGCTTTCACCGCGTCCAAGACGGCCCAAGAGGCCTCCAAGACGGCCCAGGAGGCCTCCGGGAGCGCTCCAAGGCTGCGCACGAGTGGCTCAGGACGGCCCCAAGGCGGCCCAAGAGAGCCCCAAGACGAGTTCGAGAGGGGTCCCAGACGGAGAAAGCCAACCTCGAATTCCGAGCTTCCGGCCCAAGAGGCTCCAGGAGGCGCCAAAATGCCGCCAAGAGGCGCCACAAGGCTCCCAAAAGCACCCCAAGACGTTCCGAGAGGCACCCCAAGAGAGGTCCAAGAAACAAAATCGTGCCATTCCTATGGGAAAACGTATATTTTTCGCATGTTCGCATCTTGGGCTTTCACCGCGTCCAAGACGGCCCAAGAGGCCTCCAAGACGGCCTAGGAGGCCTCCGGGAGCGCTCCAAGGCTGCGCACGAGTGGCCCAGGACGGCCCCAAGACGGCCCAAAAGAGCCCCAAGGCGTGCCCGAGAGGGGTCCCAGAGGGAGAAAGCCACTGTGAAATTCCGAGCTTCCGGCCCAAGAGGCTCCAGGAAGCGCCAAAATGCCGCCAAGAGGCGCCACAAGGCTCCCAAAAGCACCCCAAGACGTTCCGAGAGGCATCCCAAGAGAGCTCCAAGAAACAAAAAACGCTGCAAAACTTAACACAACCATGACTAGAACCTAAGCGCGCGCGAAGCGCGCGCGTGGTTCTAGTCATGTATGTATGTATGTATGTATGTATGTATGTGCATGTATGCGTGAGATGCTATGTAGTGCAATGACATGTAACGTAGTGTAGTGTACTGTAATGTAATTACATGCATTGTTTTGTAATGTAATGCATTGTAATGTAGGCTAGCGTAGTGTAGTGCACTGTAATGTACTGTAATGTATTGCATTGTAGTGTATGTATGTATGCATACATGCATGCATGCATGCATTTATGTATGTATGTATGTATGTATGCATGCATGCATGCATGCATGCATGCATGCATGTATGTATGTATGTATGTATGTATGTATGTATGTATCTATGTATGTATGTATGTATCTATGTATGCATCTATGTGTATGTTAATGCATACCTCACGTATATTTGTATAT